TTTTTTTTTTTTTTTTTTTTTTTTTTTTGATGCCAGGGATCAAACTCTAGGCCTTGCGCTTACAAGGCAGGCGGCAGAACCACTGAGCCAAATCCCCGGCCTCTGTGTTCATTTTATAAGCTTGCATTTTGCCAATTATAGTATATCATGATTGTTTTTAAAAGTTAAACTTCCTACTTAACACATTTTTATTGTTCAACAGAACAAAAAGTCACATAACTTTTATCACATCTACTACCTGAAACCTAAGTTATTTCAGGCTAAACTTTTCCAAACCGTTCATTTATAATAGTTAATTTTTCATGAACAAGTTCCAGAGATAACTAAAGAGCTTGTCTTTGCTTTTTTTTAACTAGTGGTCGAATACTTACATTAGAAAAAAATTAAAACAGTAAATATTTATCAATTCATATTCTATGAATAAATAGCATGTGTTACATAACAAAGGCTTTTACTAATCTGATTGAGTACCTTAAACAATACATTAAATCGTAGAATAACCTGGAGTTAGGAGGGTACCAGAGTACTGAGAGCTCTTGGGGTATTTAAAGTAGTTAACTGAAATCAATTGTACACAACTTTGATCAGTTTGGCAGTTACTTCTTTTTATACTTTCTTTCTATTTTTGGTACTGGGGATCGAACTTGGGTCCTTCGCTTGTGAGGCAGGCAGTAGAACCACTGAGCGAAATCCCTGGGAGTTATTTCTTTATTGAACACTTGATCCAAAAACAGAGACAATAAAGCCTTAGCTTGAAGTCATGAATTTCCATGTCATTTCATCTGGAATTTGAGAAGCCACTTATATCTCTGTAACAATAAACATATTAAATTTGCACTATCTCTAGATATTAAATATGTATAAATGAGTTATATAGTGACTATATTAGTCTGAATATTAGCTTGAAAAGTGAATTCAGACCACTTATATATAGGCCATAATTATGGTGTAAAAATACTCTAATTACTAAAACACTACAATGTTTTTGCAACTTTCACACATATGGCTTAGAAAAATCCCTTATAAATTATTAAAATTAGTTTTGCACAAGTATTATTAAAAATCCACAACTATGAAGTTTGTCTAAATGGAATTACACTTTAAATACTGCTCAAGAGAGCTTGTTTTCATTTTTAAGACTTTTCAGTTGCCTCAGTTTTTTTTAAGCTATCATATCTCACTGCTAAAATCACAAATTGTTTGCTATATACCCCAGCACCTTAGCACCATCATTTCAGAATATAAATGCCTCTGATTGACAGGATCCTCACAAGCTCAAGTCCTGGGATTTGATGTGTTTGTGTCACTACAGTTAACCTCTATTTATCTTCTGGCTGTCTGCTTAGATTAATTGCACTCATGTACTTACAAAGACCTCTAAGTGGTGCATTATTATATTGGCTGTCATATTCCCTGCAGATGGATCTTCCTGATGAAGAACCTGATCGATTAAGCAACAAACTGTTGCAGTATGACCCCAGCCAAGATCAATGGCAAGAGCGAGCACCCATGCAGTACTCTAAGTACCGATTCAGCACAGCTGTAGTCAACAGTGAAATTTATGTTCTGGGTAAGGAGCAGCAGATTGCAAAGAGAGTATAACCCCTTCTATTTTTCTCAGCAGTTTGCCTCAGTAAAAATGAAATAATCTCCCTTCCTTTTGTACCATGGTTCGAATACATACATAACTAGCTTAAAATTTTGTTTTATTTCTTGTTGTCTACAACTCAGTCAAATAAGATTAAATGACAGCACACTGACTTACTGAGAACAAAACTATTTTCATGGCATTTTCAAGTGTCTTGAGTTGTAAAAGCAGCAGTGATACATCCTTACATATCCTACTAAGTAATACACTTGGAAATAGAAATAAGCTAAGCCTTCAGCCCCTTTTAGTCAGTGAAATGTAGGTTTTTGCAACAACTTTGATTGTGATATTAGAAGATAAACCCATGATAAGCAAAATGTTGACCCTCTTCATTTTGCCTAACTCACAAAATACCTGTAGAGGTGTTAGCAAATAATTTTTATCCAAATCTTGAATCTCTTGGATATGCGTGGTTTTGTAATAACCATCAGGGGTTGGTGAAAGACTTGGGTTAGTTCCACTAATGTAGGTAAAAACAATTCCAGAGCACCCTACCTAAGTTCCCTATCCTAGTTCACACCATGATTTTTTTCCTGTTTTGTTTTGGTTTGTTTTGGTTTGGGTCTTTCGTTTTTCTTTTTAGTGTCTTTTGCTCTTCCAAGTGCATTCTGCCTCCCTAGCAACAACCTCTGTCACCTTCCCTCGCTTGACCTAAGTATGGGTAAGACGAGGGAAGGAGGTTGACTGGACCAGTAAGATGAGAGCTATGCCAATCTTTATCTCATCCCATCCATATTGATGACTAACTGGCGAAAACGTAGGAAGGAAATGGGTAGCAAAGAAATGACAAGGCAAAAATGAAAAACTGAGATGAAAGCAAACGAAACATTTGAATAGAAATGCCTTTTTTTGAACTAAAGGGAAGCCACAATCTCTTAGTTGTTTTCATAGCATGAAGCAAAATAATTCATGTACTCAAGTATTAATAATTGTCTTATTGAAGAACAAGAACATTGTGTGACATAATTTATTATTACCTCAGTTATGAGACTAACTTATAATTAAGTCTTCCCTCTGGATAAATATTTCTTACTTTTTTTTCACCATATGCTGCATCATAGGCCTGGAAGAGAAAGTACCTAAAGTGTGATAGATTGTCTGCAGTAGGTGTATAACTCAAGATGGTATGGGGCTGATCATACTAAAGTTGGAGATAGCCAAAGGGTGGGATGAAAGTGATATATCAGTTCAATCAGAATGAGATCTCCCCCAAAGATGAAATCACAATTAGGCTAGATGTGAAATAAAAATGATACTATCCTTTTTGGTAAACTATATGGAGAAAGGAAAGAGGCATTCTTGGGAGTTTACAGTGCACTGATAATTGTCCACTGAATGAATAAAAAAGGTAGATATAAAAGGAGATTGTAGATTGCATCTGTGAAAAGTAAAAAGAGCACGCTCCAGGACAGAGACAGAGGGCAGGGGCAGAGAAGAGGAAGTGGGGGAACAGAGTAAGTGGTGGTTTGGAGGTGTAAATGAATGAGCCAAGAGTCGAGGATAAGAGGGAAAGGAGAGAATGAGCCACCAGGAACAGGGAGTTGAGAGAGACAACTGGGAACCAGATTATAAAGGCCATGGACAAAGAATTAAGAGATTAATAGTGAACAGGGAGAAACCACAAAGAAGCAACACAAAGGATACTTTAGAAAGATTGCTGAGGTGAAGATATAAACAACAGCGTAAAAGCAAAAGGAAACCAGAGATGGAGAGACCAATTAGGAAGGTTTCTGTGGTAGTTTATAGATATTCAGAACTGTAGACCAGTTCAGAAATCATGTAGGCAAGATTTACCACTCTGTAAAATTCAACACAGTCATCCCCAACATTTGTTACTTAGTTCACAGATGTATTTGTAATACATTGAAATGGAATGAAGATCAGTTATTTGGGTTTTTTATAAGTTTATTGGTACATTTTAGGTATACATTATGATCACGTTCATCATTGGGAATTTGTACCTGTACCTGATATATATAGGTTTTTTCCCTTCCTTCCACCCCTCCACCCCTCCCTATTCCATTTCTTTCTTTTCTCATATTTTTCTCTTACCCTTCTTTCCTTTCCCCTACCTCCCCTTCCTACTACCCCTTCTCCTTTAGGGTTTTTGTAGTAGTTTTAGTGTAGATTTAATTATTCATTGCATATATAATTGGAATTTTGGCAAATATCACAAAGGACCATAAAGCCTTGCCCATTTGGACAACATAAGTAGCACACAGTCATTTGTTAACTGTCTTGGTAAAAACACTTTGGAGACCTGTGTGTATCCCCACTCTATGTGGGGTTGCTGCCAGTTAAAATATAGTGATAAAGTTTCCCCCTAATCCTTGCAATGGATTTACTTCCTTACTGTCTCCTATACAGTCTTCAGGAGGTCGTCCACAGAGCAGCCTCTGCCACCAGGGAGACAGTATGATAAATGGGGAAGGTACCAGCTTCAGAGTTGAGGACTTTTGGATTAAAATTCTGGTTCTACCTCTGGATATCCTTGGTTTGTTAAATCCTTTTTTTTATTATTGATATTAAAAGTGGAATGCCTACCATAGAGTTGTTAAGATTAAATAATGTGGTGCCAGGGATTTAGCTCAGTGGTGCCGCCACCTGCCTCACAAGCACAAAGTCCCGAGTTTGATCCCCAGTACCAAAAAGAAAAAAGTTCAAGATGGAAGATTAAATAATGTGTGTCAATACCTGCAACATAAGTGTTCAGATGTTGTCACTATTGCTAATTGAGTCTGTCTATGTTACAGACAGCTGTAGTTTGGATCTAGAGTGTATTCCAAGGTCTCATGGCTTGGTAGCCAGCTGTGGTGCTTTTGGGAGATAGTAGAAACATTAGGAGGTAGAGCCTCTGGAAGGCAGCTACAGCACTGAGAGTGAGCCCTTGGAGTGCCTCTCTCTCTCCCCTTTCTAGCTATCATGAGGTAAATAGACCTCTTCTACCCTGACATTCTGCCATGTCACAGAACCAGAGCAACAGTGCCAGCTATGCAATGAAGCCTCTAAATCATGAGCCAAAATAAATCTTTCCTTCTACATTGATTATCTCAGGCATTTTGTCACAGCAACTGAAAGCTGACTAAAACAGGGACGCTTTGCTGAAATTCTTGGCATAACACTTTCTTTTAATGGCCATAAAGATGGACAGAGTTTTAACTCTCTCCTATAAGGCTAGCTTGATATCCAGAAAGATCCTCCAACTGAAAATGTGGATAAAGCATTTTTTAAATTTCTAACATCCACCCCGCCAGTAAGAATTTAGCTGGCAAAAAGCTAAGTGAAATCAAGACTTTCAGCTATGGAGTGAAAATTTTGACATCCCCTCCCCAAAAAAGAAGAGAACAGTCAGCCTAGGATTCTGTATCCCATGCAAATATTCTTCAAGAATAGAAATGAAATAAATGCATTCAAAAGGGGAGGAAAACTAAAAGACTATATAGGAGTGGGTCTGCCTTGAAAAAATTGCTAAAGAAGTTGTTCAGACAGAAGGGAAATTCTGCCAAAGGGAAACTGAGAATATCTTGGTAAAGAGAATATTATTCTGTTTTTCAGTTCATTAAAATTATGTGATTGAAAGGAAGAATTATATTTTATGTAGTGTGTAGTGTATGTAAACATATGAGACATGTTTCTGTAGACATTAAAGGAAGATAAGAAGATATATAAATTTTCCAATTACAGTGATAAAGTGCTGATTTTAAGAAGACTATGCATGTTAAGTACATATTTTGTAATGCCCCTAAAAAGCTATTAAAAGAGATGTAGCCAAAATCACAATAAACACATAAAGATAAAGGTTTTAGGGCTAGGGATGCTCAGGGGTGCCTCTCTCTGTCTCACAAGTGCAAAGTCCTGAGTTCAATCCCCAGTACCAAAAAAAAAAGGAAATTTTAAAAAAGATGGGCTTTAAAATGTTCAAATACCCAAAAGAGAACAGCCAAAGTAGAAAAGAACAACAAAACAAAGGCAGAGAAAACAAACAGGAAAAAGGAATAGTATACCATCATCCAGCCATTAAAAACAAGTACCTTGAATATAAATGCTTTGGTGACACTGATTAGCAGACTGAAATTAACAGGGTGTTTTATAAATAGAGCAAACTATCAGTATTCTTTCTGCAAGAAACCCACATCAGTTGTAATAATATAACTAATTTATAGGTAAAAGGATGGAAGATATGTCTGTGCAAACACTAATCAAAAGGAAACTGAGGAGGGGCTGGGGGTTTAGCTCAGTTGTTCCATCGCCTGCCTTGCAAGTGTAAGGACCCAACTTCGATCCCCGGTACCAAAAAGAAAAAGAAAAAAGAAAGCTGAGGTTGCTATGAGAGAATCAAAGTAGATTTCAGCAGAAAGAAAATCACCAGAGTTGGGCATGGTGGCACACGCCTGTAATCCCAGCACTCGGAAGGCTGAGGCAGGAGGATCGCTGTGAGTTCCAGACCAGCCTGGGCTACACAGTGAGACTCTGTCTCAAAAACCAAAAAAAAAAGAAAGAAAGAAAATCACCAGAGATGCAGAAGGATAGTCCATAGTGATAAAATGGTTGAATCATTATGAAGATACAACAAAACTAAAAGTGTATGCTCCTAACAACAGAATTTTTTACACAGAGAAAAAAAATGATAAAAAAAAGAAATGTACAACTGTATAGTCAAAAATTCAACACTCCTCTCTCAGTAATAGAATCAGTAGACAAAAAAATCATCAAGTAAAGAGAACTCAGCTACACCATCAATATCAACCAACTGAATCTGATTGACCTTTACTGACCACTGCACCCATAAGGAGCACAGGAATATTCACCAACATGGACCATATCCTGAGTCAGAAAACAAACCTTAACAAAATTTTTCAAAGGTAAGCCATAGAAAATGTGTTCTCCAACCATAATAGAATTAAACTACAATAAGGTTAAATAAGATAACATCCAAGCACTTAAAAATATAGCTTAATGATCCATGAGTCAAGAGAAATCAGAAATATATTAAGCAAAATAAAAATGAGAATACAACACATCAAAGTGAGTGTGCAGCTAAAGTAGTGCTTAGAAGGCAATTTATAGCATTAAGTGTTTATGTTATAGAAGAAGGAATGTTTCAAATCTGTGGTCAAGTGCCCACCTTAAGAAACTAGGAAAAGAAGAGTAGCATAAACCCAAGTCAAGTAGAAGGAAGTAATACTAAGAGCAGAAAAAAATGCAACTCCAATTGCTGAAAAGAACAGAAACCGAATGAAACACAGCTATTTCTTTGGGAAAAAATTATACAATTGATTAAACCCCTAGAAAGACTGACCAATAAAAAAGAAATACATACAAATTACCAATATGAGGAATGAAAAATGGTGTCACTACAGTCTCTGCAAACATCAAAAGGACAGACAGGCAGCACTACAAACAGCTGTACATTTGAAAACTTAGGTGAAATGGTCCAATTCCTTAAAAATCACAAACTACTAAAAGCTACTCAAGGCAAAATTCATAAGCCAAATGACCAGATACATTAAATTAATAGTTGAAAACATTCCAAAAAGTAAATCTCCAGGCCTAGGTGATTTTGTTGGTGAATTTAACCAAACATTTAAAAGTAACACCAGGGGCAGGGGATTTAGCTCAGTGGCTCCACCGCCTGCCTCGCAAGTGCAAGGTCCTGAGTTCGATCCCAGGTACAAAATAAATAAATAAATAAATAAAGCACCAATTCTGCAACTGCTTTCAGAACATAGGAGAGAACGCCCCCATCTTATAAGACTAGCATTGCCTCATACCAAACCAGACAATATATAGTTCAGAAAAAGACTACAGACCAATATCCCTAATGAACATAGACACAAAAATCCTCAATTTTTAACAAGTTCAATCCAGCAATATACAAAAAGAATAACACACACTGCCTAAGAATTTTTATCCTGAGATTGCAAAGTTCAGTATTCAGAAATAAATATGAATATTCCATATTAACAAACTACACAGGAAAATCCATATGACCACGTCAGTTGAGGCCAAAAAAAGTCATTTGGGAAGAAATGGGATATCCATTCGTGATTTAAAATTCTCAGCAAACTAATTCTCAGTGTATAAGGGGCACCTGTGAAAAATCCACAGTTAACAATATTGTCAGTAGTAGGTTTGAACATTTTCCCCTAAGTTCTTGAACAAGGGAAGGTTAACACTCTCATTATTACTAGTCAAAATCATACTGAAAGTCTTAGTGGAATAAGAAAAGAAGTTGTGCAAATCAGAAAGGAAGAAATGAAAGTCCCTATTTTCAGATGGCATGATTATCTACAGAGAATCTCAAAGGACCTGTTTTTTAAATTCCTAGAACATGAGTTAAGTATGGTCAGCAAATACAAAAAGCCAGGCTTGTTTTTTAGTGAAAATTATATATACTTGAGGTGCACAACAGATACATAATTTAATATACAGATACATAATTAAATGATTACTACAGTCAGGCTAATAAACATACCCATCTTTTCCATAGTCACTTTGTGTGTGGATGTATGTGTGTTGTGAGAGTACCTGACATCTCCTGTCTTAGCAAATTCCCAGTGTGTGATAAAGTATTAACTGCAAACATCATGGTGTGCATTGGATGTCTACACTTATCCTACATAACTGCAACTTTGTACCTTTGACCTACAGCTCTCCACTTTCCTTCCTCTCTGGTAACCACTGTTTTACTCTGCTCAGTACTCAACTTTTTTGGATTCCACCTATAAGAGAGACTGGGTGGTACTTTTCTTTCGGTGTCTGACGTTTCCTTTAGTGTAATGCCCTCCAAGTTCATCCATGCTGCCGCAAATACCAAGTTCTTCTTTTCTAAAGCTAAACAACATTTCATTCCTTTTATCCAGTCAACCATTGATGAACACTTAGGTTGTTCCCATATCTTGACTATTGTTATAGTGCCTCACTGAACATGGGAGTGCATATATTTCTTTGAAGTACTGGTTCCATTTCTTTTGGATATATACTCAGAGGAAGGATCATATGTACTGTTTTTAATTTTTTGAGGAACCTCTGTACTGTTTTCCATAATGGCTGTACCAAGTTAAACTTCCATCAACGGTATGTAAGGGCTCCCTTTTCCTACATCCTAGCCAACACTTGTTATCTTTTTTACCTTGCTGATCCTAACCCTAACCCTCCTATAGGTATGAGGGGATATCTCATGGTTTGATTTGCACTGCCCTAATAATTAGTGATGTTGCTCATCTTTTCATTCACCTGTTGGCCATCTATATATCTTCTATGGAAAAGTGTTTATGCAGGTCCTTTGCCCGTTTTTAACCAGTTTTTTCCCCTATGGAGTTGTGTTGGGATATTATCTCATTATCAGATATATGGTTAACAGATATTTTCTCCCAGTCTGCCTTTTCATTTCTTTGATTGTTTCTTTTGCTGTGCAGAAGCTTTTGGGTGTGATACAGTTGCACTTTATTTTTGCTTTTGGTACCTGAGGTTTTGACATCATATCCAAGAAAATAATTAAGGCTACTGGCAAGGAGCTTTTTCCCTGTTTTCTCTGGGGAGTTTTATAGTTTGGGGTCTTATATTTAATCTTTTAACCCATATTGAGTTTATTTTTTTCCTATGGAATAAAATGGGGCCCAACTTTTTCTTAGCATGTGGATATAGTCTTCCCAACACCATTTATTGAAGACTTTTTCCCATTGTGTATTTCTGGCACCCGTGTCAAAAATTAGTTAACCATGTATGTTTGGGTTTATTTCTTGTCTCTCCATTCTGTTCCATAGGTCTGTGTCTGTTTTTATGTCAGTAATATACTGTTTTGATCATTATAGCTCTGCAGTATGATCTAAAACCAGGAAGTTGATCCCTCCAACTTTGCTCTTTCTCAAGACTGCTTTGGCAATTCAAGGTCTTTTGTGGTTTCAAGTGAATTGTAGATTGCTTTTTCTATTCCTGTGAAAAATATTGGAATTTTGATAGGAATTGCATTGAATCTGTATATTGCCTTGGGTAATATGTACATTTTAGCATTTTTAATTCTTTCAGTCTATGAACATGGGATGTTTCCATATACAGTAAAACCTTGTTTTGTGTGTGTAGTTCATTCCAGAAACGTGTTTGTAACCCAAAGCACTTGTGTATCAAAGCATATTTCCCCATAAGAAATAATGGAAACTCAGATATTTCATTCCACAACCCCCCAAAAATGATTACAATACTGTAATATAATACAAAATAATAAATAAGCTGCAAAATGCAATATGAAGAAAAATAAACAAATTAACCTGCACTTACCTTTGAAAACCTCTGTGGTTGGTGTGAAGAAGACAGGAGAGAGGAGGGTTTATTGTGTAGGACGACTTTCTTTATCACTAACAGAATAACTGCTATCTACAGTATTGGCTCAGTGGAATCTTTTTCTTTTCTTGTAACTTTAACAAGGAGCCTATCCAATGGCATTTGTGTTTGCCTCCTTTTGAGGATTTTACAGAAATGTGGA